TTTGCACTGTGGCATCTATGGTTTTGCATCAAACTTCAAGGAGATCCAAATTCTTACTGTCTGGTGCTAAAACTTAATGTGCTTTACAGCATGATGTAAAGGTTTAAACTAATGCAAAGAAATATAATTACTTACTCCTACACACTTTGTTTTTCAGGGTGTGTTTTCGTCTTCCTGGTGAACAATATATATCCTACTTAATATGAAACTACATGGAAAGCAAATAAGAGAAGCAAGCCTGTGATTCATTTGAATTTATGCAGTAAAACAGGAAGCTTTCTGAATTAAAATGCTGAGTTGAACTCTGCATTTCTGCATTTTTTTTACCTAGTATAAAATACATTAGTTGTTACGTTCAGAAGAATTCTTGATTTTCTATTTCAGTCAGGAGAATAAAAGGTACTACAATAGCAACCCATGGCAATCCAGTTTAGAAATAATTTCACAAAGGAGGATCGTATGTGTGTATTTCATGGGAAGGTGTGGAGGGTCATGTTTCTTAGGGGTGCATTGAGATCTGTGGGTAGCTCCTGTTCCAGACAAGGAGAGTTACTCATGGGAGGGCTTTGGAACTTTTGTTGAGTATTCTGGCCCCTATACAGCAAAACAAAGCATTTTTAAGTCTTTGCTTAATATTTGTGATCCCAGTGACTTGAAAGTGGTGGAATTTTGATTGCTGAAAGCCAGAATCTTTAGCACATCTCAGAATTATGCCCTACATTATTGGAATGATAAGGGTGCAGATATGGTTTAGGCTTTTGTTTGTTTGTCTTTCTGATGGTATGAGACAAGGGTACATTCTTCTCTCACCAGCTCCTGCTTTTTGAAGTCTAAATAAAAATCTTGAATTGTACTGATATATATATATTTATTTTAATAATTTCTTTCATGGATAATAAGCTCAGTTGAAAGATTTAAAAATATGAATGAAATCAAGCCTTTCAATCTCTACTTTCTTTGTTTAGCTTGAGTTGGTATTAATCAAAGAGAAGTTTTTCCTTTCAAGGTTTAATTGAACTAGTGCATATAAGAATTTACAGACAGGTCACTCATAAGATCATTACATCTTTATTCATGTAAGCAAAAAAATACTGTGCTGTCTGTTTACTATTATTAGCTAAGAAAATTTTGAAGTATCTTTACTGTCTTCTGCAGTTTAAAATTATGTACTATTTATGCTCAAAATTAATTCCCTGTTATAAGTATGGGGTAAGTCAGAAGATCCACCAACTTTTGTGTGTTGTTATATAATTCAAGGAACATGAGTTTGCATAAGGATGTCTTTGACAATTTTCATTTGTTACATCTCATTTTGTTAGCAATGCATAGAAACATATTTCCTTCTTCTGGCTTCTTTTTTTATATCTTATTTCATGCAAAATTAAATGGAGGAAAACTTGAGGCAGGAAAGGGAACAGTATGAAAAAAACCTGAAAACTCTTAAATTGACTTAGTCTCAATCACTAGACATCAAGTTGCTGTTCTTTCCCAGTAAAAATGCATTACCACCTTCCAAATGTCCCTACACAGGACAGGACTGTCCTCAAGACACACCTTAAATTACAACTATGAAAACTCAGCCCATGTGCCTTACACATGGAGCCAGTTCTTGAGAGTTCTGAGAAATTATGTCCTTCCCTTGCTGTGTAAAATGTGAGACTTTGAGGATGCTTAGAATTCTGCCAGTCTGAATAGTCAGTTGAAGAGCTTGGGTTAACTGAAGCATGCATATGGAGTATGCCCGGTCTCAGGAAATCACATAACATATAATTCCTGGCTGGCCCTGCCTGTGCTAAAGCACTTAAGAATTTTTACCTATATAGAACTGAGTTTCTTAAGGGTGACACTTCTTCCACTTGCCAAGATTAAAGAGTGTGCGGATATGAGTTTTTTCCTAGTGTTTTGGTAGAGGCAAATCAAATAAAGGAATGCCAAAATGTGTGAATTCCACTGTCATTGAATTTTCCTACAGGATTTAAAATTATTTTCTGTAGAAGGTAGCTGTTACCAGTAATATTGTAGACATGGTAATCTAAGGATGGAGGCAATATGTGATATGTAGGGAGACATTTAGACTGGTGAGGGAAGATGTCATCAATACTGTCCTCAAGAAAGTTACAGTAGTATGTATAGTATGTCTGTGTATTTGTCTATATAAACTAACTACCTAGTATAATTAGCTGAACTCCTGAACAATTGTTTAAAATCTGTATTTAGCTTAAAGATTTTGGGGTTTATTTTACACCTGAAGTATTGGTTTGGGGCCTGAAAGTGTGTGTGGTTTGATTTGGATTGTGTGGATTTTTTTTGTTTGTTTATTTATTTATTTCTTGTCTGTATATAAGAAGTATTCACATAAATAACATTAGGAATGCTATAGCAGAATGCTTCATTAGGTTTTTCACATTCCATACCTATTTTAAATTATTTAATTGAAGGAGTAGCTACCAAACATTATGAAATAACTTTGGATGCTGTCTGCTTTTCTGGTGTGAAAAGTACTTGCTAAGCAAAAAGAGAAAAAATTAGCACAGAATTTTCCAAAAGAAAGAGTGAAAAAGTTAGTTTAAAATCCTAATGTCACAATAACCAAGAAAGCCACATCTTTTAAGATGGCATCAATGCTACCTAAGAAGACAATGTCAGATTTCAGTTTGTTTGTGTATCGCTTTTGGAAAGTAAGAAGTGAGCCAGTCTGACTGAATTAAAAGATTAAAGAGGTTATATGATCCAAATGACTCTTACACAATTTGGAAATTGCTATTTTTAGTTGCTAGAGTTTAATATTAATCTGCATTAGGAAGTACATAAACAGAAATAACTAGGGTGTCATAAGTAGCTGAGAATATAGAAATAAACAAGAAAATATCTTCTAGTGGTTAGAATGCTCAAATCCAGCAAAACAGTTAGTTGATCCTCTCCTCAAAAGGAAATAATTCCAGAAGACAAGGTTGATTTGCGAGGTGAAGTTGTTTTGTGTAGCAGTCTGTAGCACAGGATATTGAAGAAACTTTATCTTGGACATGGTCTTAGCCAGAAATTAAGATGAGATCTCACACTTGAAGTTTTAAAATAAACTCATAAGCAGTGGAAGTCAACAGGACCAAACAGGGAGTTATTCTGAGTTTGAAAAAGAGATTAAGACTACATTAAATGCTCCAGTAGCAAAAATAAGAGTGTTGCTTTAAGAAAAAACAAAACAAAACAAAACCACCCAAACATAAAATCCCTACTACTGAGCCTTGCAAAACTTTAGAAATTTCTAGGGATGGTTTTACATTGTTTAAAACAGTCAAACAACAAACCACATCCATTGTACAGTAGAATTCAAACCACACAATTTTTTGCAAAGATAATTGATCTGACAGAATTCTTTGTGTCATTAAAGCAGTGGTTGAAGAAAACCTGATTATTTTCCAAAAAGCTCTGAGCAAAGTTAAGCATTCACTAAATGAGAGACAAAATACTGTCTTGGGTGAAAAACTGACTGAGATGGGAAACAATATTAGGATTAAAGCATCAGTTAGCATTTTGGTTAAAAGCTACTGTAGGTGCAGAAGATATTTCAGTGTACAAGGACTTAAGAGTGTCAGTGTATTCATCAATTGTATATCAGACTATATGTAAAATGAACCATTGGGTTCATTTTGTAATAAATACACAGTTTGCAATGTCAGAATCATGATGGATAAATAACCATAGTAGGCAAACTAACATTAATTAATGCAAAGTAGTTTACATTCAAGAAGAAAAATTGAATTACTAATATATCTGGGTTTCAAATTACATACATCTGCTCAGGAAAAAAATATTAGCAAATAATTTTCAAAGGCCCAGTGAGGATTACTGTTCCTTTCATAACTAAGGTGCAAATGACATCAAACACAGGAGTAAAATGAAGGATAGTATGGAGATTATTATAATCCCCTTGTGTAGATCAATGATACAGTCTTCTAGGGAATACTATGTTATGTGGATCCAACATACACTTGTCAGGTATGTTGCAAAATGAAAGGATTGAGAGAAGTATAACACAAATGATCAAAAGCCTAAAAAAAAAAATCTCCCATGAAGTCAAATAAAGGGGGAAAATGTGATTGCTTATGCCAGAGAGAACAGGAATGAAGACATAACATGAGTATAATCTATTATGTACATGAGGCAATGAATTGCAAATTAAAACCATAAAATGTAGAGCAAATAGAAGTTTTTCCATCTGACTAGTTCTTAGACAAACAAAAAGATATTTAAATGAAATCAAGGTCTGAAATTCAGGACTGAGAAAAGCTAGCTCATTTTAGTGTGCATCTCATTGAAACACAGGGTATTAAGACAAAAAAGATTTGGAGATATTCGAATTTGTATTATTTCTAATTCTTTCATCAAGTGAGATATGTTTGTTGCTGTGTTTATTGTTCTTGAGAAAATAATATTGGTGCTGGAGGGCTGGCAGGAGGGAGGTGTAATTTAAAGAGTGAACAAAGTTTCATTAGCCATTTTTATTGCTAACTTTTGGGGTTTTGTTCTCTGTGGGAGTGTTTTAAACTTGTTCAGGGTCACATAGTTTTCTAGTTTTGGTAACACGATCTATCTTCATTTAAGTTTCTTGTCAAAGGACTGCATCAATCTTTCTTACATTGCTTAACACTGCTCTGTGTGGGGACTTCCAACTATGTAGCTGAGAAGTTAGTGACATCTCATGGTAACCATGGAAAATTACAAGTGATTTGTGGTAAGGTTTTGGCATTTATAATTTAACAGACATTACAAGTGTTTTCTGGGTCAAAATTGTTTAATGTACTTTTACATACCTCTTATATTTAATTCTCCAGTGTTCATTATTTATCTAGAGACTAACCCAGGTGTTTGTAAGCCCGAAATACTGATACTTGTCAGTTAGCATCTGAAGTTCAAATGTTGCAGTGTGTAGTATCTATATATTTGTCACTTACAAAACAATTATATAACATTATTGTCTCTCCTGGTTTTATTTGTTTTAGGTACAAAGTCAGCTACAGAGTATGCTAATGGTGGTTATGATATTGTGTCACCTGCTCCATCAGTATACTTGGGCACATTTCAAATTTTGCATCTGCTGGAAGATCTAAAGATGGCACTGGAAATGCTAGAGGATCCTCAAGAGAAAGAAGCATTGCGAAATCAAATTCCAGGAGCCACAGCACTGTGTATACGAGAGTGGCTTGGAGAGAATCTGGTGAGTAGTTATTTATAGCTTTTCCATTTTGTTTGAAAATAGCATTGGTTCAAGTATTTTGATACTGCAATTATTTTTATAATAGCTGAAATCTGCATACTTAGAGAACTGCAGGAGATGGTGAATAATCATAGAAAGCTGAGGATATTACCACTTCATGTGCTGATTACTAAAGCAATGCAGATATTGGAGTATAAAAAGTTGGTAAAAGACCTTATTTTTGTCCTTGATGAGATAAAAGATAATAAAAATTAACTAGGAAAAAAGTTACCTTTTCTGTGTTTGTTTCTGTTTTTTTTGTTTGGTTTATCTTGGTTGGTCCTTTGCTAGAGATAACAAACACATTTATAACGAGTTATAAAACTTCTCATTTTTAAACCGCCAACTTGGAATATGGTGGTATTGTCTGCTGAAGGGACAAAATCTAATTGGATGATTCTCCTATCCTTTTCCTCTCTACATTTCCTTTGCCTTAGCTATCAGTATTATCAATCTCCAAAGTGTCTTGTACACCAGGCAGTGGTGGTAAATGCATGAAAGCTCTGGTTTCTGTATGTGAGACTTTCATATTGGGATAGATGGGGAATTGAGGCTTACAGGTGAGGAGCAGATCTTCAGATAGATGTTAAAAAAAAAAAAAAAAAAAAAAGAGATCCATTGGATGTAAAGGAAGAGAAACAGCAAATGCTGCCAGAACATTCCCCTTCACCAAGCCTGTCACTGCAAGTGCATGGTGGCTTCATAATGTGTAAAAGCTACCTATGACTTTCTCAACTTCAGAAAAGTTTTCTAGATTAATGGGGTTTCTTCTGGCTTTGTCAATGCATGCTACATCTATGTAATTGTGTCTGTAGCTTCTGGTTCAGCGTTTATCATCTGCTATAGCTGCCTTGTGCCTCTTGTAACCTAATGTTTTTGGAAAGGTAGCTGCTTTTGTTTGAACTTGTCAACTGCTGCTTTGTTGGCATTCTCCACAAAGTGCAGGTTTAAGGCTGGAAAGTCCTGTTTGGGACTGTATGAGAGAAAGGAATGACAATTTGGTACCAGTTTTGAAAGCAAAAGGTGGAGGCAATGTTTAATTTGGATTTACATTATTAGATTTTGAGTCCATAACCTCATGCCAGCTCTTACTGAATTCCTGCCCTAGCAGAAATTTTAATGCTTTTTTAAATCTTCACAATAGCTAAAAGATATTTGTAATGCATACAAGACAGATTTTCAGAGTTGTTCACAGTAAAGTTTGCCCTGAACCACCAAGTTGAAGAATCTGAATTTGGTGGTCTGGCTTTTGTCCCCTCTGTTGCAGAAAAATTAACTAAGCTAGTTTTGACTCCTATTAATCTATATATGTTTATCTCTTCTCTTTTATGGGAAACCAGCCAAAACAGAAGACACAGTTCTCTCTTAAAGTTGCAGTTTACTGATATCTTAAAAGCCTTACCTAGTACATCAACAGTAGGATTCATTTGATAAAGCAATTGGGCAGTCTGGATTCAGAACCAACAGAACAGGGAAACTGGTGGTATAGAGTATATCTAGAGCAGTACATTGAGATCACTGGTTTAAAAATATTTTTCACTGTTCTGTATTGACATATTCTGCACTTGTAAAGACATGGACAGGGAGAGTGGTGCATAGTTGCGGTGATTTATTTGAAAATGGATAGTAATTATGTATTTTTAGACCTTTTTTATATTTTTAAAAAATGCAAATAATTTGTAAGCATGCACACAACTTTCATGGACTTCAGATTTGGAAGAGCTTTTTCCACTGACAAGAAGCAGTTTCACTTGTAAATTGAGAATAAATCTGATAAAATTCAGGTCAGTTCAGTTAAATGGAATATGTATTTCATAGTTATGTCCCATACCAAAAATCCCTTAATTCCAGCCCTGAGCTGTGAAGTATGATGCTTGATATGTGAAAGAGGATAGTCAAGCTAGTAACATATAAAGAATGAGAACTCTGTATCTCAGTGAATCCATTCACATTGGAAGCCTCAAATTTTGGTAATCATTAGTGTGTGAAATGTTAGTGTCTCATAAAAAAAACCTCAGCTCAGTTCCATGGTTCAAACACATCAAGATTGAAGCTGTTTGCTGATTTATTAAAGACATAATTAACTAGAAATCAGTGAACTGTATATCTAGGATCAAAACCAGCAATACAACAGATAATCCAGAATACTAGATGCTTAAGAAATGTTAAGGAACACCTACAAGTTTCTAAATGCAGCTCTGTAACTAATTTCAAAAAGTTAAAATCACACAGACATGCACACATACACATTCACAGTTCCATGCGCACATTTTCTCTCTCATAGCTGGTGTCGGTTACAAGTATGAACAGCCTCTTCTGTGGATGTGGGTTCCCCTATGCACACATATCTCTTAATGGACATGCGGGTGCTTTAGCTTTTGTGTGTACCTGTGGAGCTCCCTATGGCCTGCTGACCCCTGCGCTGGTGAGGAAGCACCCCACGAGTTCATACAGACACCCCTGATGTGTGGGTCCCCAACTGTTTTAACTGGTTAACTGTCAGGCAAAACATTATTAAATAGAAAATGCCAGATGCTCTCAAGTGAAATTTGCTACAGAGTGTCTCTTCTAACCATTCCCTTTAAAGTGCAGAGATTTGGAATATATTTCAATAATTGTATTCAACTGAAATGTTACATAAAATGACATTTGATATCAGTATCAGTAATTGAATTGTAACAAACTTTGGAGCGGATGGTGACCTGATGCCATTGAGCTTTTTTTTAGAGCTATTATAGGTCGGATTGGAGGGGGGATTTTCTTCTGTGGGTGATTAATTCCATATCTGTTTATTCTGGGGGTCCGTGCACCTTCCTTTGAAGCTGGAGGGCTGCTCTAGCATGTACTGAATAAGCACCTGATCTTAGATAGTACAACTGCTTTGTTTCTAATGTTATATAGGAATAGGTGAGGTCAAAAATATTCCCAGCTTAGTTTCTAATGTATTTCTAGTCAGGATAAAGATACAAAAAATAATCTGACATTTATTTTAAAAGCAGATAAGCGTGCTCTTTCAAGAAAAGACTAGGTATTATTTTATGATTCTTCTTCACTTAAATGCATGCTTGAAAATTGTATTAAAAATCATTGCAGCTGCTGTCCTTAATCAAGAATATAAACAATGTGCCTTATGGAAATAATTTGGATTTGTGTTTTGCTACTGCCCTACATCGGCTTTTATGGGAAACCACAAAAGGGCAGGCAGGAAGACAGCTCAAGACTAGTTCCTGCTGGATAGTATCAAACAAGAGCATTTAACAGACAGCATTTTGGTTTAAGCAGAAGTATATAATAGAAGTCCCAATTATTTTCTTGTGTGCTCCTTCTGCATTAGCAATGATCATAACCTCATGCAGCCCTGAAAGCTCTCTGAGGCAGAGTATGGCTATCCTTGCTAGTTCTGTTTGTGCCACACAACAGTACATGGGATTGCAGGTTAGAGGACAGAAAGTGACTGAACCTTCTTTGTATTGTTTGTATATATTGGAGTGTCATCTAGAAACTAGAGCTCAGTTGTCCCAGAATGGGAAAAACAACTTCTGCAGAAAATTGCCCCTTGGTCTTATAATTCAAATAGCTTTGCAGCTTTGATAATTGCCACTTAGTGTGCTGAACTACATCTAGTATTTAGATAAATAAGACAGTGGAGTTTAGCCTTTTAGTCAGTTTTGAGGCACATTGGCTTATTACTGATCAGTCAGGAAGCTTCTATGATGATTATAGATACTATATCTGATCTCACTAGTCTTACCTTCCTTCAATTCCAACTGTGGAATTTCAGACATGAAATATCACCAAGTTGTCTTTTGTGGTTTGATTTTTTTTTTTATTATTTTTTTTTTTCCCTCCGAACAATTGTAACTTATGTTCGTTGGTCTGTCTGCTATAGGTGTTAATACCAAAGATGTGGGAAAATTTAGATATGTCTGGAGCATGAAAATTTGAGACATCATATTTCATACCTGATACTACATTGCTTACTTACTCTTTTGAAAGCATCTGCTTTCTTTTTTTTTTTTTTTATGAAACCATTGGTGGTGTATTTTGTGCTTATCCTCTACAATCTTCTAAGAAAAAGGCACACCATTTGTGGAACTAAAGGTGTGCTTTTTGAAAAGGCTTCTTTCTGCCTTTCTGTGGTCTGGGATCTGAGAACGTATGAGGTTCTTGAGTTTACAGTGTAACTGGGCACAGTAACTGCTGTCACTGTTTTGAGACAGATGAAATATGTTTGACAAAGTTAAGGCTGAATTTAGAATGATTGTTACTATGTATCCTAGAATGAGGATTTAATAGTTGCTGTAGCTCCACAAATCTTGTGACAAAGCTAAAATGGCATGAAGCATCATTAATTATAGACTTTTAACTACTTGAGAACTGTATAAAATTTTTTGCCTCAAAGGGAACATCTGGAGTGTTTTACATGCTTTATAATTGTAAATTTTTGTTCTGTTTTTAATGCCAAATAGATGTGAGGATTATCACATAGAGTTTGTATAAAACAATTTTGTGTATAGCTTCAATGCCTCTTCTTAAATATTTTAGTATTGCTAGTGACCACATGACATATCACAAAGCAGGCAGTAATCTCAGCATTAAAAATTAACTGCTGCACTAACAACTACCTGTGTTTGACTCAGTGAGCTATGAGATAATGTATTTAGTTACAGTTTCATTTCATAACTCTAAATGAACTTCTACACTTTTTTTTTTGTTTTGTTTTGTTTTTCTATTCATCTTTATGGAACCCTTTTCTAAGTAAAGAAGAACCCTAGTGTTCTTACAGTGGTCCTAAAATGATTCTAAGCATGAGTGAAAGCCTCATTTCCAGGATCACAAAACATGATCTTCCTTCCAGTGGAATATTTACATTTAAAGCAAGCCACTTCACCATGTAGCTCTATATACTGACCCTTAAAATGCTGATTCTTGAAAACTCATTTGTATTTTCCTGATATTTT